GCCTCCGGCGGGGACGCCGGCTCCACGGCGCACGCCCCCTGCCGCGCCCGGGTAAGTGCGCCGGGTGGCCGCAGCGGCCGCCCGCAGGATGGGTGCTTCTACAGTCCGCCTGCTTCTCGCCTTCCGGACTGGGTGGAAGCGCTTGGGGCAGCGCGCGGTGCTGGAAAGACGTGCGCAAAAGCCCGCTGTGGGTAGAGATGCTCACGCGGTGGCTTCGCGCGGTCGCGGCCCGAGTTCTGACCGCGGGTGCCGTAGTGTCCGTTGCAGGGCCTGCTGGTGGTGAAGCTGTGCGCAGTAAGTTCTGGCGGACGCCCCCGAAGGGCTTTTTCCATGGTGGAGAACAGGACAGTGCAGGCATCTGGAAGTTCTGCAGCGGAGTGACGTGGTTCTGTAAGGCTGGAATGCATCCTTCTGGGGCTTTTCGAGAACAAAAAAGTAGGAAACCTCCCCTGCGGGTCAGTGTAGTATTTTGGCCATAAATCTTCTAAATGGGAAGTAGCACCAGGCCCAGTCGTCCTTGGTAAGCCTAAGCTTCTGCCAGAATTCTTGGCGGTTGTCCTGCACGCTTGTCGGCCAAGACAGGTTTTAGTTGTGTCCGTGTTCGATGTGTGGCTCTGACTGTATTGTCACATCTTTCCGTGTCTAAAAGTGGCACACTTCTCTATGCAGTAGGAAGTAGGACTTTTATGAGATATTTTATTGCAGACTTTGTCGGGCACTGTCACACTAAAAGCCTTTGTTGCTAAATTAGAATGCTTTCACCGTCAACACTTTTTCTAGGTGGGTATTGATCATACCTAACTCAGAAACCTTAGCTGATTATCTGCTTAATTACAAGGTGGGAAAGTGCTGCTGAGACCTTCTGATGGAGCGCTTAGCAGGCTGGCTGGTCATGGGTTGCTGGGAGCGCAGGTTTGTGTGACAGGAGCCTTGTTGCTAAGGGATTAGGCAAACACTAGAAAAACTCACTGTTGAGCATTCCACCTCCCAAGTCCTTTTCTTCCCCGCTCTTTGTGTGTGTAACCTTGTGGGTCAGTGGCGGTGAACCTTTTAGGGCTTTCAGTGATACAGACAACCCACTGCCACATCTGTAGTAGCTTCAACGCCAGCGTCCTAGATTCTTTTTTGGGAGACCGGGAGTCGAACTCAGGACCTTGTGCTTGCTGAGGAAGGCGCTGTGCCTCTGAGCTATATAGCTCCGGCCGTTTTTAGGTTTCCTGTATGAGTACTTGAGGCTTTCTACAGGATTTAAGAAGCCAGTCCTGTCTTTCCTGTCTAGATTCATTAAGTGAATCTGAACTCTATAGACTTTTTTTCCTTCTCTCTCTTTCTGAGTCCTCTTAGCTGTGGAAGTTTGTTTGCTTCCCACTTAATCATTTGATAAGTCAGTCCAGGAGCCTTCCATCTTTGTAGCCACTGAGGCTCCTAAATTAGACTTTTTTTTTAACTTCTGTTTTTCTAGTAAATGCTACAAGTAGAAACTGCAAGTAAAGGCTCCGTGAAACCGAAGTCAGATGTTCTTCCATTAACCCAAGAAGTTCCCTTCCTAATGCCACAAATGTCAGAAGTTGAGTCACAGCCCCCACAGAGGTGCAGGAGTGTGTGGAGACAGTCTGTAGATTTAGGTGTGGTAGATAACAGCCGTCAGAGCATCTCCCAGGTCTTGCCTTTTTTGCCTCCTGTGTTTCTGAGTTTAGACACCGTCTTTAAAAGCTTAATGTGAAGAAGCTGAGGAATAGGTAGCCACCTCCCTTTGCAGGTAAGAGAAGGGAGCTTAGTACAACCGTCTGCAGAGCTGGGTGACTCCGTACCTCTTCCTTTCCTGCACACAAAGTGGCTACAAAGGACACCGCTGCTTGCTGGCCAGCCACCTAGCACACATACACTCAGTCTTCTGAACCGCTTAACCCTCTTGAGCCATTCAGCCAGGCAGTAGGTTTCATTTTGTGACTGGGGGCCGTTGAGGTGTGGAGCTGTTAAGGTGTTCCTCCAGCATCATGCAGACAGTTAAAGGGAGGCTGGTCAGGTTTGACCCTAAACAGGCTGAGCCTGGAAGAGTATTAGACTGCAGGACGGATGCGAGACTGCTGTCCAGGTTCTGTTTGGGATGATAGTTCTTTTTTTTTTTGGTACTGAGAATCAAACTCAGGACCTCACACTTGCCAGGGAAGGCGCTGTGCCGCTGAGCTGTATCCCCGGCCCCTCCAGACTCAGTGTGTACAGTGGAGAATGACCCTCATGTAAATTGAGGGTGACAGTAAACAGCGTAATTCTTCTCTGTGCAGGTGGCACGGCTGTGGAGCACTTCCTGGAGCTTTCGTGAAGCTCTGATCATCTCCATCAAAGCGTGTGGCTTTGTTTTGTGTGGTAATTTTTCAGCTTTTTCTTTTGGCACTGCTGGGGATCAAACCTAGGACCTAGAGCATGCTAATTCAACTAGCTCCCAGGCCAGCTTGGACTTTTAAGATCCTAGATGATCTTTCAGAGGGGCTTTCAGGATCTCATGGTTTACGTAGACAGATAAGCTTTGCAGTTGTCTTAGATCCGGTCATCTTTTCTCCTTTGTGGTGCAGTGGGGTTGTTCTGAGATCCAAAGGGGCAGTGTCTCCTTTCCCCCTTTGTTCCACCTTTTTCTCATTTACAGCTCCACAGGTGCCGCGCCCGATTGTGTGGAACCAAAACGCCAGTTTGGCTAAACGTCGTAGTCTGTTGATCTTCACGCCTGACTTGCTGGTGGTGGATTTGACTTTTCTGGTCTGTGTCTGCTACAGCCGTTTCTAGAGAGTCATTAATCTGGATATTAAAATAACTTTCGGAGATCCTTGGGATGTTTGCTTTGCACTGTTAAAGAGCTCTGGTCTCAGAGGAGACGGCTGAATCCCAGGTCAAAAAGTCCTGTCCTTTCTCACCCTCCTCACTGCCCGCCAGGCCTCTGCCCGCCTCCGAGTAAGCTGCTCAGCTCGTCCGCACAGAATCATTCCTGAGACTCTAGCATCGTCGCTTTTCCTTAGATTAAAATCTGTTTGATGCACTTCCGCCCTCAGCATCTGAAGTTTATTTGCCAGGTTAGCTCCTGAGTTTAGTCAGGCAGCTCCTTGCCTTTGAAGTCACCCCGGGTCTGAAAGCCTGTGATTCTTGCGGAGAGAGTTGCGGCTCTGGGGAACACCTGGGCCGTGTCAGGTTGGAAGCTGGCAAGAGCAGGGTCCTGAGGTCTTCAGAGATTCCTGAGCTGTGCTTTGTTTGTGTTACTGTGCGGTGAAAGTTTGTTTTTAGCAGCTAGAGCAGACGCCACAGTGAGTAACCGGCAAGCTGCCTCGTTCTCGGGTTCCCCTGCACAGCCAGCAGCACTGAGGATTACCTAAGGTCTCTTTCAGCTTGGCGGCGTCTGTCCACTCTCGGGCTCGCACACTCTGTGGACGGGACGCTGGCCTTATCAGCAAAGGCGCAGGGAACCCTGTCCCTAGTCCCTCCTCGGCGCAGTACCGTGAGCGGAGTATCTGTGTTTCCTTCTGTAGACTCCAGAAAGCACCACAGGAATGGAGTACATGAGCACTGGGAGTGACCACAAGGAAGACATTGATTTATTAATTACACATTTAAACGTGTCGGATGTAATAGACATCATGGAAAATCTTTACACAAGTGAAGAGCCAGCGGTCTACGAGCCCGGTCTGATGACCGTGTGTCAGGACAGCAATGAAAACCAGGAGCCCTCGGAGTCTCTGCTGCTGAGTGGCCAGGAGGTGCCTTGGCTGTCCTCGGTCAGATACGGAACTGTGGAGGATTTGCTGGCTTTTGCAAACCATATCTCCAACACTGCCAAGCATTTCTACAGACGCGGACCCCAGGAATCTGGAATTTTATTAAATATGGTATGTTTTCTGTGACCCATTGAGTGCTGTGTGTTTAGCTTTTTTAATGTGCCTTCCTTTCCTGCAGAGGGGCCTGTGAATTTGATGTATACTGGCTGCCAGAGACGATGTTTAAAAAGGTAGTTATGCACAGGAGTCACCTCTGATAAAAACGCGAAGGAAAAAAAGCCTTCAAGAAAAGTTCCATTTAAACAGTCTTAACCACAATTCAGGAGCAGTTCTGCAAACAGACAGTTAAGAGTGTATTTTTTTTTTTTTTTTTTGCCTAGCGTGTACTAGACAAGTGCTCTACTACCAAGCTACACCCTCACCTTTGAGAATATGTTTTCATTTACCAATTCATTAAAGAGTTCAATCATTAGGAGCATAGAAAAGAAAGGTTTACTGAGAATACTTCAGCTGAGAGGGGAATGAACACTTCGTTAACACCTTTGAAGGCTGGCTTTTTCTCTTGTCTCTTAGCACATCTTGAAGTGGTTGAATAGTAACAATGGCTGAATTCAGTTCTTCCAAAGCTATGGCTTGTGGGTAGCTATCCTCTGATGTGCTGTTTTTAATTGGCAAACCTGAGTGACAAATAAGGCATTAGCTTAGTCATCCCAAGCATGCAGATAATCCAAAATATTGTGACAGTGCTTTGTTGCCACAGTACATGTTTAGATGTCCCTGCCCTTTTGTCAGTGTGTCAGAGGTGAGTGTGGGTGCTGGCTAAAAGGTGATCTAATTTTTTTTAAAAAGAACAGTTTGCAGAGGAGTAGGTGGTAACCTGCAGAACATGCTTCTTGATGAAAGTGACTCTTCCCTTTGGTGCATGTAAATGGCCAGCGCTGGAGGACGTCTGTGCCCAGGGAGCAGAGTCTGAATAAAGTACTTAATTGTTTTGTTGTTTTGCATGCCACCTTCACTTAATGAAAAACAATATTGTAATTTGGGTCAGCTATGCAGGAAGTTGTTTTGTTAGAATTTTGTTCAACTCATCCTGAAGCGCGATTACATTTTGCATTGTTGTGTGACTTCCTTTGGCTTGCATGCGCCTAACAGTCAGCTGAGTACTCTGCCTGCAGAATAGTACTTCCTTTAATAAATAGGAACTAGGCGCAATACCTGATTTTCGTAAGTAACGTGTAGCTGTAGTACTGTGGTTCAAAATTACATATATAATTGTGTATATATGATTTTTGAATTATGTAATTAGGTATATGTGTGTATATACATGTATAATGATAAACATAATTTCATGTATTTCTCTCACTTGTTACGTGTTTGTTAAACAAAAGCATTCGGACGCATTATTCTCGCTTGTAAATCTGTACTTAGGTACTTGGGGCCACCCTGTGACACACTGGTGAGAGGCAGGCCAGCGCACAGGGAAAGTTACAAGAAACGCAAAGACCCAGCGTAGTGTGGCAGTCTTTGGGAGGAGGGCCAGGAAAGCTAGTACAGAGAAAGAAACGAGCCATTGCAAGGAAGTGCAAATCTATCAGCAAAGGGTAAGAGTGAAGTCTTGGCATTTCCTGCCAAGCAGTCTGTGCTGTGCAGAGGAGCAGATGCTTGCTAAAGGGAAATGTAGTGATAGGACAGATCGAAAGGGCAGGGATCTTGAAAACTTTAAAGTGTTTCTTTTATCTTTAAAATGACCAAGAATATAAAATACAAGCAAGAAAACTGAAACAGAGAAACCCAGAGTGAAATCAGAAGGTGAATCTGAGCATCCAAAGGACTGGAGGTCTGGCCTCTCCAAGCCAGGGGTCAGGGCTGTGGGGAGCGTGGTTGACTTTGCCGGTGCTGAAATTAAACCTGATGCTTGTGCCTGGCAGTACCTCTCACAGCTCCGCTTCCTGGGCAGCGGCCTAGCGCTGGACCTGTGATCCCCCGTGGCTCACCATGGCAACGGAGGCAAGGCTGGCGTTCTGCCTCCTTTCATCCTGTATAGCTGGGTGCTCTCTGGGGGCCCCTCCTGTGGTCCAGGCCTTCCTCATCTTGTCCTCCACCTACTGCCCTAGCAACACTTTCTGCGTCTGGGTTTTGCTTGCTGCGTTTATCTCTCTGCATTAGAAGATCATCTACCGCACAGCTTGGTTCCAAGGTAGAGTCCACCTATCAAGTGTACTTACCCCAGGACGGAAAGTTTCCACGTGTCACCTACTCATTTGCTAGGTGGGATATCTGTAGTGCGACAGTGCTGTTGCAGATAGAGCTTCGGCTCGGGCGTGCCTTGGGCAGCTTGCTGCCCAGCGCAGACGAGGGACAAGTGAACAAGCAGTTGTACTACACTGTACCACTGCCCAAAGCAGCAGCATTCTGCTAGCCTGGGAACGGTGTGGCAGGACACTTCACACAGTCATGGGTGTGGCAGAGGAGAATGTCAGCCTGGGTTCCCAAGAAAAATGGGTGCCTACGCCAGTCTTGAGCGTTGTGTTGGAGTTGGTCAGATGAAGTAGGGCATGTTGCAGATGAAGGGAACAGCATGTGTAAAGGCCCAGAGGCACCCAGATCTGTTGTGCTCATTCAGCCAAGAGTCATAGCACCACAGAGTTAATTAGACTGGGTGGACAGGCAAAATTACAGCGATATCTCGGAGCACAGGTGTGTTGAGTGGTACTCTTTCTGTGTGTGTGCACATGCTGCATTCCTGAAAAGAATGCTTGTTACAGATCCACTGAAATCCAGGCAAGGAACTTTATAGGACTAATTTAGGAATTGCTTTCTGTCTGAGCACTACAAATTATTTCTAAGATAGGCTGATTTATAACCTGGAATAATTCAAAATGTGTTCCACACAACTCTTGGTGAGTCTGCACGGGGATGAGGACCCCAAAGCACTCACTGGGTGTGAGATGCTGCATGCTGTGCCTTGGGTTAGACCTGGAGTCAGGGCTTCTCAGGCTGAAAAACCCCAGGGGGACACTTGGGGGCAGTTCTCAGTGCACCATTCATCCTCCAGCAGCGGTAAGAGCTTTCTCCTCTGTGCTTGAAAATCTGTTACTTGGGGCTCACCCCCTGTGGGCCATTCTGCCTCCTGTTTATCCAGTTCTGACTATAAGAAAAGTTCTTTCTCAGAACTAAAACCCAGCCCAGCCCAGGACCTAAACATGGGTGACTGTTGTGTGTCAGTCACCCATGTGTGTCAGTAAAATGGGACAGCCAATGGGACAGGGCTGATTTTGCCTTTGTTCTAGAATAATCTTCCCTCTGCCAGCGTAGCCCAAGATCACATCTGCTTCAAAGCAGTCATATCACACTGGTTGGTCACTTACGAAATCTGTTCTTACTAAAATATCTAAGAATTTTCTGAGTGTTGCTCCTGGGCCCCGTATTATTCGTACAGATAACAGAGATCTAGGTGAGGGATAGGCAGCGTGCTTATGATACCTGCGTTTGAGGATGATTTTGGCAAGTCCAAGAGCTGGCGGGAATAAACAGCGCACAGTTCCCTGAGACGGTTTGGTGGGGGCTTTAGGAAGAAGGAAGAAAGAAAGACAGCCTCAAATCCTCATAGGTTTTGTCTCGGCCGGGGGAAGAGCCAGGACCTTCGCAGGGCTGCAGCTGGTCAGGACTTCGATATCGCAAAGCAGGTTCAGGGCCTGTTGTCAGAGCTGCCCCAGAGGACTCGCACATGCGGAGCAGGTCCTCGGGACTCGGGAGAAGGTGAATTAGGGCTGAAGGGGCTGGCAGAGGAGAACGCTAAGGCACGCTTGGTGACGTGTGAATGGAGGCTTTTAATACCTGCGTTTGTCTCAAAGCTCAGCTGTAATTACAGCCTCTGGAACACACAAGGCTCTCAGACAAACACTGGCTTTGGAGTTGGGCAGACCAGGGTTTGAATCCTGTCCCTGGCGCTGCCTAGTAAGTAACCTAGCCCTTCAAGCCGGATTCCTCCTCTGCTAAGTGGAGGTAAAAATAGCCCGGATCTCCCAGGGCCCTGTGGGTCTTGGTGAGGCCGTGTACTGAAGTGCTGAGCACAGTGCTGGTGTGGACTTAGCGCTCAGTGTATGGCAGCTGTTAAAGCTGTGTTCCTCTTGGACAGAAGGAGAGGGGGAAACCCAACAATTTAGTTTGGACAGCAGTGAAATTCAAGAAGGGAGTTAAGCCTGGAAGCGGTTCTGTGGAGGGCCTGATAGCGGCTCTGTTAATACCCAGCAGCTGGGGGTCCTCCCCTGGTTTAATCTGCATTTGCCAGACCTCAGTGAGCGGCACCGAGGGCCTCCTGTGACCAGAAGTGACGTCGCTGCCGCGTTTCCAACAAGACCAGACCGTGGTCTCACTCGCGTTCCCTCTGGGGCCTGCATGCCGTTCCGCATAGCAGAGGCTCTCAGTAAATAGCTCATTTGTAAGCTTAATGACTGCATCTCTAGGCATCCTCGCTGGTGACTGGTAGTGAGCACATTATTTGTGGGATGTGGCGCTGAAAATAGCAACACCAGTGGGGGTATTTTAGTGAGCCTTCTGGGTTCCGGGCCCATGCCCCAGCCGCCCTGAGCAGGAGCCCTGGGCATCTGCTGCCCAGTCAGGTGCCCTTGCTTTCCTAAGGGGTAGAGCTGGGGTTTTCCACCTTCCCCTTAGGCTTCCTCTGTACTTGAAGTAGCTTCATGTCCTTTGGTAGCTTCATGATTCTGAGTTGGTTATCTGAAGCTGGCTGTCACTAATTACATTTAGGGAAAACTGGTTCTTCAGACTGTTTATCCCTTAAAGAACACTTCAGACATTTTTTTGGCGTCTTTTCCAGGTCCTGTTTTCCATAGACTGCCATATTAATTTTGTTATTTTCCACTTATATTCTTTCCTCTTTAGATATTGATGTACTTTCTACACAGTAAGATAGAGGTCTTAAACCCCCCATTTGAAGAGCTTTGAGCAACGCTCATGTCCCCATAAGCCACAGTCTGTTGGGAAACACACCTGTTGATTTCTGAGTTGACTAGTTGTGTTTATTTTACTGATTTTTTTTTTTTTTTCCCCTGGGAGTTGACTAGTGTTGTTTTTATGTATTGTGTTGATCGGTTTTTTCTTTGCATCAACTCGTTTTGCAAATTCTGGTCCTAAGTGTCTGCTTCCTCGGGAGCTCGGAGGACGGGTCATCTGTCTCTGCTCCAGGCTGCCTCCTGAGCCCTAAACCGCATGCTGGGCACATACTAGACACGCAGTAAATACGAAATGAGTGAGTCCGTGAGAAGTAATTCTGCCCTGGCTTTATTTATGTGGCATCGCCAGCTCATTGCTCTGGCATCGCACCTTGTTTTCCGCGGTTGTCCGTAATCCTCAGCTAATTTCCCAGCTCCCTCTGTGCATCACGGATGAGTAATAGCTATGTAGACGAACAGGTTAGCACATTTTAGTAGAAGCGAGTCAGTGAGTAGGCACAGTTGCAGTCTTTATTTTCAGCCTGTGGCTCACAAGCGTCTTGTTCCTTAGATAAATTACTTAGTTCTTTTTTCAGCTTTTATTTTGTAGTAGCCCTTGTCTCGGGTATATAGGGATTGTGATCCTTGCAGGGAGCTGGTGCGTGTACGTAGCATGTATCGATTCCTTTTTTACATCTTCCCCTCCTTCCCTCCCTCCCTCTCTTGCTTCCCTTCCGGTTTAAAAAAAGCTCTATTTTCCTACTTCTCATTATCTTTTAGATAAAAATGTGTGGCATTCTGTTTGGCAGTGCAAGTGGAAATACGATCGGGTCTGACCAGGCAGCCGTGTCTCTCAGGAGCTTTGCCTGGCCTGCTCACGTTCTAAGTATAGCCTCCTTACAGTGTTAGGGTTCCACACAGCGCCGCTCACTCAGAGTGCTGTGTGCAGAGTGCTTCTAACCGCCCAGCTTCGACTGGGGGCGCTTTAGAAAAGGACAGCACTGCCGACATTTTTACCCGCTGCATTTTTATTTTCTTTTAGGTAATCACTCCCCAGAATGGCCGCTACCAGATAGACTCCGATGTTCTCCTCATCCCTTGGAAGCTGACGTACAGGAACATTGGCTCTGGTTTCATCCCTCGTGGGGCCTTTGGAAAAGTGTACTTAGCACAAGACATGAAGACTAAGAAAAGAATGGCGTGCAAACTGGTATGTGCAGTTAGGCAGTGTGCTTGACATTCCTGCCTCTGTTTGTTTGCATTGACCCAGGGATCCTACCCTTAGACTAGATCTTATCTAAGGATGTTCTGCCCTCCTGGAAGCATTTGTTTTTCTGGGTTTGCTTGCTACCTGGGGCCGTGCAGCCCCAAAGTAGGGGCCTGTCTAGGTGCCTAAAAGATTTTAAGAAGGTCTTCAGCAGTAGTCAGGCTAACGTAACATTCCTTGCCTGAGAAGAGACGCAGGCGGTGTAAGCGCAAACCTACGCACAGCCCCTCCGACCTGTCCACGGGAGGCTGCAGGCACAGGTGGAAGGTGGAAGGCTTCTCCAGGCTGCCTATTTAAAGGGCTGAATCCACATATTCCAGTTACTTGAAGACCCTGGTTCTTCCTATTAAACCGTCACTGCTAAGGTGTTTCTACTTTCGAAAACCATGTGGCAGAATCTCCGAGGCCGAGCACACACCCATCCTTTGACTTGCAGTTAAACCCAGCAGATTCCGTTCCTGTAGTTAAACCCACCACGACCCTGTCCAGGTGGTCGCTGGAAGCTGAAACCATGTCCTAGTGTGTCCATCTCGGCATTGTTTATTCAGACAAGTCCCAAACTGGAAACTTCTCAAGCGCTGAAGGGGGCATATTTACATCTGGGGCACTGCCCAACACAGAGAATCAATGTAGAACTAAAATCACTGGCTGCATCTCATAACCATTATGTTGAGCCCAACAGCCAGACACAAAGTAAGACATACTGATGAGACTCCATTTATGCAAAGGACAACACAGGCAAAGCAAATCCGTGCTGCCAGGTGTCTAGACAGTGGGGTACCCTTGGGAAGGAACGGCTGGGAGGGACCTCAGGGGACTTCTTGGGTGCTGGCAGGGTTCTGCGTTTTTCTTTATGTGAAGATTACCTTTGTATGTTTGGTTGATAATTCATTGAGTTCGGCACTTAGCATTTCTCTTCTTTTATGTGTGTCTGTTTTGCTTTAATTCGCTTGTTTGAAGTGTGATAACGTAAGACTCTCCTTTATCATGGTGCTGAGGACGGAACCCAGGGCCTCATGCGTGCTGGAGGGTACATGACCACAGCTTCACCCTGACCCAAGTGCTCACTTTGGATTTAATAAAAAATAATTGCTGTATATTATGTTTCAGTCTCTTGTTGTCGTGTGTTCCTTCATAAAGACGCACTAGAGCTGGGCTAGGAGTCTAGCACAGTGGCACAGAACTTGCTCATGGCTTTGGGTTCTATCCCAGCATTAGAAGGAAGGAAGGAAGGGAAAGAAAATTTCCTGGAGTAGCTATTATTTATACTATTTAGAGTATCTATTACTAGAAGACAAAAAAAGGTTTATAATAAGTCACTTAAAGCTTAAAATTTTTTAAAAAAATTATTTTTTGTTAGTACAAGTCTGCAGTACATGGTTCCATTCCTCATGGGGGTTGGTACACACATGTAAATCATCTTCATTCTTTTCGCATCACCACCTTCTGCCCTTGCTCCTCTGTCCCTCCATCTCTTGGTCTCCTTCCCTTTTGCAAAATGTCTATCTCCCTATTTCCCGTTACCTACCTTTTATCTTGTATGTAGGGTTTCTCATGTAAGAGAAGTCATGTGATATTAAAGCTTATATGTCTGATTAATTTCACTTAACATTATGATCTCATGGTGTGCACATTTTCCTACAAATGACTCACACCTGTCCTTTTTATGGCAGATTAGTATTCCATTGGACATAAATACTACATTTTCCGTATCCATTCATCTTTTGATAGACATATAGGCCATTGCCAAAATCTAGCTACTTGAATTGTGCTACTGTAAATATGGGTGTGCACATACCACTGTAATAGGATATATTTTTTAACTCTTTCAGGAAGATACCTAGGAGGGAAGTAGCTGACTCAAATAAAATTTTCAGTTTTAGTTTTTTGAGGGATCTCCATATGGATTTCCACAGTGGTTGTACTAGTTTACATTCCCAGCAATAAGGGTTCCTTTTTACCCCCCAGCCTCACCAGAGTTTGTTATTATTTGACTGCTTAAGGATAAGGATTCTTTGTGGAGTAAGGTGGAATCTCACTGCTGTTCTGATTTGCATTTCTTTAGTGGCCAGAGGTGTTGAACATTTTTGTATGTATTTATTGGCTATTTGTACTGCTTCTGAGAAATGCCTATTCATTTGTTTGGGTCTTTTAATTTGAGTGGGATCTCATTTTTTGTATTCCTTATATATATATATTTGTTTTGTTTTGTTTATTTGTTTGTTTTTTTTTCGGTACCGGGAATCGAACTCACGACCTTGTGCTTGCCAGGCAGGCGCTGTGCCACTGAGCTAAATCCCCAGCCTCCTGTATTCCTTATATATGCTAGATATCAGTTCTCTAGACAAGCAAGGAGCAGCTGGTGAAAATTTTCTTCCCATTCTGGAAGTTCTCTTCACTCTTAAAGCCCACATTTGAGAAAGTGCATGTTTAAATCATAAAAAATCTGGAGGTATTTTATTGAAATTAAAATTAAATTTATTAAGCAATGTCTTATCAATTTATTCCAAAAAATAGAAAAGGCTTCATGAGTTTGTTTTCATTGAATACTTACATTAATATTTAAAATGATGTTTTAAAAAGAAAAATATATAGATGATCAAAACCCAGAAACAAGCTCAAAAGGATGTAAGTTTATTAAGAAGATCCCTTCCTTGAGGCAGCTACTGTGAATGGATTCTTATGTATCTTCTATGAAATTTTCTATGCATAGATGTGTGTACAGTTTAAAATTTAAATGGGCATGTAAAAGGTGAACCTTTGCATCTTGCTTTTTTTTTAACCCACCACTATATTTTGGAGACACTTCCAAATCTACACTTCTGCACTGAAAGAGGTACTTCTGTCTTAGAAATAGTTTTCTACAGGGTGGGTTTATGGACAGTGCTTGTTTTAAATATACTGCTAGAGGGTGAACTGTGGGGCCAAAGATTTCACATCATCTCTCAGGGTGAAATACAGGAACACAGCTGACATCTAGGTGCCATAGAAATTACATGCATTAGGAGTGTGAAATTATCTTCTGATGTACTTGCAACTTTGAAACCTTGGTTGGATTTCTGTATTCTTAATTAAAATAGTACTTTCCTATTTTTTATGTTTATATTTAGAGTTTGACACTGAGAGCTGAGATAGAGGCAGATCTGAGGTAGACGTTATTTTAACGTAGCAGTACTATTTCATGCAGGCCAAGGTGTCCTGGGTGGTATTTATTGGCCTTTTGGTTTGTGGCTTGACATGTATTCTGTGTTTTTCAGTTACCCGGAAGTTGTTTACAGTCTTGCTTGTATTTTTCTGTTCTAGATCCCTGTAGATCAGTTTAAGCCATCAGATGTAGAAATACAAGCGTGCTTCCGGCATGAGAACATCGCTGAGCTCTACGGTGCTGTCCTGTGGGGAGACACTGTCCACCTCTTTATGGAAGCGGGAGAGGGAGGGTCTGTCCTGGAGAAACTGGAGAGCTGTGGACCCATGAGAGAATTTGAAATTATTTGGGTGACAAAACATGTTCTGAAGGGACTTGACTTTCTACACTCCAAGAAAGTGATCCACCATGATATTAAACGTGAGTAGCTTGGGGTGTGGGCCTCTTCGGCTTGAAGAGGCTCAGTGGATGGGAGGCCGGTGGGTTCTCCCCTTACAACTGGAAAGCTTCGGTGGTAGAAAGAGTCCCTGAGAGCACCGTTCATTTCTTCCTTGCGCTCCTGAGACAGGATCAGGCCACTAGGATGATTACTCAAAAAGCTGCTGCTAATATTATAGTCACATTTCTATTAGCTAAACCAATTGTGCCCTTACCAACAAGGAATTTAAAACAGAAACTTAGGCCGGGAGATAGAGCTTAGTGGTAGAGCACACGCTTAGTATGCATGAGGCCCTGGGTTCAAGCCCCAACACCCACCCCCCAGAACAAACAAATAAAAGTAAGAAGAAAATGATTTATTTAACACATAACATACAACTATGTATTTTTTCTTTCTTTTTTTTTTTTTTTTTTGCGTTTTTTCCGGTACTGGGAATCGAACTCACAGCCTTGTGCTTGCCAGGCAGGCACTGTGCTGCTGAGCCGCTGAGCTAAATCCTCAGCCCCCAACTATGTATTTTTAAGGAGCAAGTGGCTTTTTAATTTTGAAAACCAATTTGACCACAATCTATTAGACTGTTTTCTAGAATTAAGACAGGGTAATGAAATAGCAGCATTAGACCCACTGTAAGTCTTTTGTACCTGTTGCTCCCTTGGACAAAAGCACAACTTTTACTGGGAAAAACTGGCAGTTTTACTTTGTGTTTTAGGAAAATGGCTCGACAATGGTATGCTTGTATCTGAGAATTTATAAATCAAGCTCATAGGAATTAGTAAGGGCCACAATCATTTATGTCTGTATATCAGCTGGGCTCCGGACAGATTAGAAGAGACCTTCACCACATTCTCATCAAACTCATCCTCTTTCGAGTGTGATACCTCATTAGGGAAAGCACTGCACTCTGCTCTGATCGGGGATTCCTTGCTTTAGGTAATATTTTCATCTTACGTGCAGTCCTATAAAGAATTTTATACTAAGAATTTCTCTGTCATTACAGCCAGCAACATTGTCTTCATGTCCACAAAAGCTGTTTTGGTGGATTTCGGCCTGAGTGTTCAAATGACTGAAGATACCTATTTTCCTAAGGACCTCCGAGGAACAGAGGTAATTGTACACATGTGAAAGTTACTAGTACCTTATTAAGAGTTAAAAAAAAATTTTGAGAATTACTGTAGGAAAGAATCACAGAAAGAGATGAAAACCATTGCATTAAATCACCGTTATCACTAGAACAAATTTAACGAGCACTTGCTGTGTGCCAGATACTAAGTTTAGCATTTTAATTTCTATATCTTTTTGTCCTGTTATTTATAATGCATAATACAGTATTTGTAATACAGTATATATCATATGTATCTGTCCATGTACATGTATCTATATTTGCTAGATATATAGAAACAATCTAATTCCGAAATAGATGAACAGTTGAGCATCCCTATTATGAAAATCCAGATTAGCGTTACTCGGCTGGCATTGTAAAATCCAAAAATATTCCAAAATCTGAAACGCTTCTAAATCTGTAATACCTCTGGTCCCCACACATTTCCTGTGAGGCATATCTGATCTGTGTCCACAATGCAGCTGTAAAAACAATTACAGAATTACAGTTAGCTTTAGAATCGTAAATGTGGCACCTTAAGTGAGTTCTATTGTTTACTCGCCACAGCAGCTCTGTTATTGGCAAATAACGAGCACTGTGGCAGATGATATTATCCCCATTTTACAATAAGGAAATAAACTTGAAGAGATTACAATGAAGGGTCTGAGGTTATTCAGCAGCTGACAGACCCCAGACTTAATCTCTGTTCTTTCCAGGTCTAGACCTAAAGTCTAAGGGTTGTGTAACTTTTCAGTGTAACTAACACATTGCTTCAATACACGAACACACTAGGTAACCATGTTGAACATACCTCCTCCAGCAGGTATCACTTCTTGGTGGGGAAAACATTTGAAATCTTCTGGCTGTTTGGGATAGAGGGCACCCGTCACTGTCCGTGGTCACCATCTCCACAGCACACCAGGATTCTTACGCTAATCTAACTGCAGCTTAGCGCCTGATGATCAGCCTTTCCCATTCCTCTCTTCCCTGGAAAGATCTCTTAAATTTACCTGAGTTGTTCAGGGATCAGCCGTTGAGGTCACAGTAGGTCATAGTGGGCAAGGAGAGGCTGTAGCTGGGAAGGTAACCCGGCCCCTCCCACTGTCCTGAGACACTGTGCACCCCACCTTCTCTCCCTTGGAAGTGCCATCAGAAGTGGGGAGAGTGTCCCTGGCTGTGTTTGCCTGGAGGTTACCAGGTCAGTCTTGGTGTTCAGCCCAGTGGCAGCCCACAGTGTAGCTAGCGGAGGTGCTGCACAGAACTCGACTGTGAGGTTTCCTTTCGAAGCAAGATTCCATAGGCCTTTTTGTAACCCTTGCAGTGCAAAAGCTGGCTGGGTAGCAGGATGCATCCTTGTTTTGCTGATATTCCTGCAGCTTAACTTCAGAGCGTTTTGTTTTGTTTTGTATTATTTTGTTTTCCTGAGACAGGGTCTCACTATATAGTTCGGGCTGGCCTTGAACTCACTATGTGGCCGAGGCTGGCCTCGAACTCGTGGTGTTCCTAACTCAGCTTATCAAGTGCTAGCATTGCAGGCGTGCACCGCTACACCTGGCCAGGGAGAAGGGATTCTTGATCATCATCTTGGAGCAAAATAATATTCAGAGAAAACTGCCAACTTTTTTTTTAAAAAAGAATGTTTAGTTCCCAGATCTGAAGAATTCTTTGCCAAAGCATAACATCTAATAAGACTTAACACTTACGACATGTTTGCTTTGGAAAATGTTTGAACCATCTCGGCAGGGGGCAAGGGCGGAGATATGTGACATCCCACCATTTCCTGGAGCCAGGTTGAGGCGCAGCTTCATGGTATTAGAGATGGAAAATACCTTTGGTCTCCTGGCAGTGTGGTTGGATTGCACATTTTGCAGTGCTGGAGAAAGATACGGCTTTTCTGGGATTCTCTAGCAGGGTGCTTGGATGAGAAGTAATGACACGTTTCACTCCTGAGTAGTATTTACTTAGATTAAGTTCTTTCAGTTAGTGCAGCTCATCTTGTGTGAAGTGCAGAACTGGCTCTGGTGGTTACAAGCAGCCTTTCAATCAACCTGCATTCACTGTCTGTGCAGTGTTCACGAATTAGGGGTTAATGACGAGGAGTCTGATGATGAAGTGAAGTCACTGATGAGGTCTTAGGACGAGCCTGCCTTTACTCTTCACACTGAAAGAGCGCGTAAGATGTGTTTACGCAGAGTCAGCCATGCAGGTCTGCCTCCTGTTAGGACCAGAGCACATGGCTCTTCCGCAGTCGGCGGCGATTGCTGATCCACCCAGTGGAGAGCACAGGGACGCAAACGCTGGGCACCTGTGTTGCCTGGCTCTGCCCCCTCTCCTCAGCACTCGCGTTTAGTGTGTCATACCATAACCTTGCACTTTGGCATATTATTTTTGTTTTAGTTACATGGCCCGAAGAGGAAATAGTAAATGTCATAAATTAGAATCACTTGGATACTGTGATCCTTTTTTAAAAAAGTTGTTACTTCTGAGCCTGGTCCTAGCTTGCGTAAGTTAATATTTAATAATCACATTCACATGCACATGCACAGACACACAGGGCACTCTTTCTCTCTTTCTAAAAAGCACCTGGGTCTGATCAAGTTCCCTGGCTCTAGCGCCCACGCCAGCGGGTGCAGGACGTGCAGCAGGGGCCCCGTCCTCTGCTGTCCCTCAACGCAGCCCAGGGTGCAGGTGCGTAGTCTGCCGAGCCGCCTGTGCGTAGCTACGGCTGCTTCTGCCAACAGTGTACAACTCTCACTCCTTACATGGGGCGCAAGCGTCCGCTATGGATGTAATACCCACTGTGTTCTTCTTTTCCTCCCTTAACTTTATACGATTGTGTTAAGAACCCTTAGCACGAGATCTGCCCTCTTACCCAAAGTTTCAAGTGTGCAGCGCATTGCCATGGACTGTTGGGTATGGTGTCATACTTCTGTTTGTTAACTTCGTGATTATATTTATTGAGAGAGTCCTTCAGGATCTACTTACTCTGCTTGGCTGCAGGGAAAGTTTGTGAGTGAGGAGCTCAGCGTAGCCTGTTTGCTGACAGTGACAGTGAAAGGAAGCCAGCCCGGAAGTGGGTTGTAGGAAGGAGTTGAGCAGGCTTAGGATGGGGAAACGGGGCAGTTTCCCCAGTTTCTGTAAGCTGGTTCTTTACTTACTTACTCAGAAGTGTATTCTGGGAACACTGACCCTTTTCCCCGTATTCAAATAACAGCATAACAAAATTTTAAAGCTGAGTACAGATTGAGTATCTCTTGTCTTAACTGCTTGATACCTTACGTATTTCAGACTTCCGCGTTTTTTTCTGATATTGCAACATTTGCATATACATAATGAGATATCTTTCGGGAGAGAACTCAAATCTGAATATGAAATGTATATTTTATGTGCACATTGTACACTTAGCTTGAAGTAATTCTACACAGTATTTTAAAAATATGCTTGTTTTGTTTTGTTTGTTTGTTTGCTGAGACAGAGTCTCATTACATTGCTCAGGCTGCCCTCAGACTCCAGGCCTCTAGTGAGCTTCCTGCCGAAGCCTCCTAGGTAGCTGGAGTGACAGGTGTGTCACCATGCCCTGTGCACCTGTGTTTGCACTTGTGACCTGTCACGTGAGGTCAGGTGTGGAATTTTCCACTGGGATATCTGGTCAGGGCCCAAAAAGACTTCAGATTTTGGAGCATTCTGGATTTTCAGATTAGGGGTGCTGAACTTGTATGGATAATTAGGATGTTAATTACTGTACATCTGTCCCCACCATACAGGTTATTGGTCACTAGTATTAGTTCTTCCTGTCTCTTTACTTTTTAAGTTTATAAATAAGAATTTAGAGAAACTACTTCTAAAACTACCTCTGCTTCTTCAGCATCAACCAGTGAAAGCAAATAGAGCTTGTATGCTCTTAAGTAGTACGGCAGGCATTTACTATTGAGTTACTGGGCTCTCTCTAGGTTGACATAAAAGGGTAGTTTGTAGAAGTGATGTATTTGGATCTCTTCTACAGCATTGCACTTTATTTTTAAAATTCTTCCCTTCTGAGCAATTCATGTCAATGCCCGGCAGATTGTGCCACCTTTTATCACTGTAGACAACTAGAGGTTTGGCAGTTAAATGACAGACGGGGGATGGGGGGCGGGGAGGATGAGGTGTATCTGCAGTGTCCCTTAAATATGAAAGGAACTGCTGTTTTAAGGAGGTGAGCCACACCCAGCCGGGGACTGCAGAGCCGATCAGTGGGAGCTGAGGGCCAGTTCTTCGTTCCAGCCCTTCGCGCAGTTCAGTCACTGCTCAGCCTGTAGGAAGATGCGTTCTTGGTGGGACGCAGGGACACTTCTGTCCAAGCTGCCTGCGACCCAGTCTTCACCGCTCTCCTTGGTTTAAGGGAGCACACCAATGACATGTTTTTTCTAAGGGCGGGAGTGTACAATAAATACAGTAAAGGCGAAGGAACCAAGTTCCCAGGCTGATTGTGGAAATAGAAACGCAGACGAATGAGAGGACTGGGGCAGCTGTTTCCTGCTTCTTTCTCAGATTTACATGAGCCCAGAGGTGATCCTGTGCCGGGGCCACTCCACCAAAGCAGACATCTACAGCCTGGGGGCCACGCTCATCCACATGCAGACGGGCACCCCGCCCTGGGTGAAGCGCTACCCCCGCTCAGCCTACCCCTCCTACCTGTACATAGTAAGTGGGGCCTGCCGGAGGGGAGGGGCTGCTCTGCCTCCTGTGACACCCACGTGGCCCCTGAGAGAAACTGCAGCTTCTTCCCGCGTGGAAGGAAGCACCGTGCTCACAGAGGGAGCAGGCCTGTGTTCGGGGGCTCACCAAAGTGCGCGCTGCGCACACGTCATATGCTGTGCCGTTGTGCTGTACGGACAATAAAGTACCACTTCCTGGCATCAGAGTGCTGCAGGCCGGACGGCCACGGAAGTTGCATGTGTTCTTTGAACACTTTAAAAAAAAGACACCACCTTTCCCCAGGCCAGCCTGGCTTGTAGTGTGATGTGCAGCTGCCATTTCACTGGCGTCAGAACACATTTTGTTACTACAGTGAACGAGGGCCACCTGCGGGCAAAAGCTATCACCGTGATTTCAGACCTAGCAGCTAATTTTTGCAGTATTAAACCAAAAGGTCGGTGTAGCTCCTTGTCCCTAGGAACCGAAGGGGAAGCTGCTGACCCTATACCCTGCACGTGCTGTGGCCCGGTGGTGGGATGCCCTCTTTAGGTCTGGGGCACTCTTCCCGCTGAGGGGCTGGTCCCTCTGTGGTGCTAAAGGAGCTGCTTTGTCGGCAGATCCACAAGCAGGCGCCTCCGCTGGAAGACATTGCTGGGGACTGCAGCCCCGGGATGAGAGACCTGATAGAAGCTGCCCTGGAGCGGAACCCAAAGCACCGCCCACGAGCCGCAGACCTGCTCAAACACGAGGCCCTGAACCCCCCCAGGGAGGACCAGCCGCGCTGCCAGAGCCTGGACTCGGCCCTGTTTGAGCGGAAGAGGCTGCTGAGCAGGAAGGAGCTGGAGCTTCCGGAGAACATCGCTGGTAAGATGCCCGCTGCGGGTGGCACCCCTCACCTCTCCCGTACCCTTGGGGTGGTCACAGAGGCACGGAGGCCGAAGGGAAGCAGCAGCTGGGAGTGATGGTGCGCACCTGCAGCCCCAGCACCAGGAGGCTGAGGCAGACTGACCTGAGCTCAGGAGTTCTAGGCCGGTCTAGGCAGCATAGCGACAGCCTTTCTCCACAAACACAAGCAAAAAAGCCCCTGTATTTTACCACAACATTATGGCAGGTCTTCAGAGCAAGTACAGGTCATAGTTCAGTCATTAGAAATTGCCTCTGACTCATTTTTATGCAATAGAGAATATTCTTCGGCTCTAAAAACAAGTCAAGCACGGCAGCTGTGTTGGTGGTGACGAAGGGGGTTGTGTTGACGGCAGTGATGGCGAGGTCCCCAGGCATTGGTGGGAAGCCTCGTGGCACTGCTCAGTATGTGTAAAATGTGGAGTGTGATGTCAGTTTGCGTGTGTACATTCCTCTGGTTGAAATCTCTTCTCCAGTGAGGAATCATCCCCGTGCTGAAAGCCCGCATGCATTCCACGAGCACTGAATATGCAAGTTTCTATTCATCTGTGCCATTCTTAACCCAGACCCTGAGGTCAAGCCTGGAATGCCTGTTCGCATTTTTCTGCTTCTTGCCTGATATTTCTGTATTTAAGAAAACCCCCTGGGCTGTTGGAATATATGCCAGGATCGCTACCTAATTTCTTGTCTTCACCGATTCCCTTTTGAGCTCTGTGGTCCGTATCGCGTCCCAGAGACTCGCCCGTGGTGTGTTCAAGGGTCGATCTGTAGTGAAAGCAGAGCTTGCACACCACAGGAGCAAGGCCGTCTTACTTGACAGGGTCCCTTTCGTTTGTTTTATTTGTCCCATGTTTCCTTTTACAGACTCTTCATGCACAGGAAGCACTGAGGAATCTGAGGTGCTCAGGAGACAGCGCTCTCTCTACATTGACCTGGGTGCCCTCGCCGGCTATTTCAATCTTGTTCGGGGCCCCCCAACCCTGGAATATGGCTGAGGGGTTCCGCCGCCTACTCTAAGCGAGGAGTGTTGACCTGCTGGATCTAGCTGGCTCTGCGGCCTCTACACCGTGGCTCTGGAGAGTGAAGCATGTGCTCTATCTGGACAGGGAGCGCTCCGACGAAATATGGCTGTGACTGCCGGTGGCCCCTCTGTGTGTGATGTGTGAAGCTGTTCTGGTATCCGCCAGGTCTCAAGGTTCTCTTTTCCCAGTTGACAGGACTCGGCACCCTGCTGACTGCTGTCATTCGCTGCGCACTTTGAAATCTTAAAACTCACAAAATCACAAATATATGAGTCTGAAATTACTGTTCTTGGTCCTTATTTATAAGCTCTTCATTAACTCGGAATAGTTGTTTTGTATATATTAGTGTATATTCTGTGATAACTCTTTGAGCGTTCGTTGGTAGATCTAGTATAAATTGAATTCATTACATTTTGGGTGAATAGAACAACTTGAATATTGTAGCGGTAAGCTTGACTAGTGTCTTAAAAATGGCTGATTCATTAGGAGCCACCTGACAGCAGGCCACTAGTGACAGTTTTTGTTATGTTCCTAAGGAAACACTTCGTACTGTACACGCTATGCCTAAAACATTTAAAACAGTATGTTTTGAATGTGAATAAAACTGTGTAAACCACATAATTTCTGTACATCCCAAAGGATGAGAAATGTGACCTTTAAGATGGAAACCTGTAAATTCTTGGTGATGCTACTTTTGTAACTCTTAAAACTATTTTCCTCAAAGCATTTGCATATTAAGATAACATACTGTGTATGTTTTATATCAAATGCTCTCATGCGCCTTCCTTCCATATATATATATATATTTAAACATTGTAAAGTATGTAAATATTTCTACTTAAAGTATGTTTTTACATTCTGTAAATGAAACTCAACACTTTTTTCACATGTGATTGGTCAGTCAACTGAATAAACCAGTTATCTTAATTGCAGTGAGTGTGATTCTCCACTGGGGCTGGGAATGCATCATAGGGCTGGGATAAATGTTTAAGGGGAAAATATTGCACGGAAAGACCAAAAATACCCAGCAGCTTGGCATGTTGTCCTGTCTGACTGCTGCTGTGTAAAGTCATTGTTGTAACCTCTGGTGCACTGCAGTAGAAAATAACCGTGACCCCTTGCTTTCAGGTCAGTGGATTGTGTCTTGTGTCTTGTTGTGTCTACTTGTATTGCCTTTGGGTGCATGTGTGATCTGTATTTTTACTGTTTGGTGAATTTATAGCTACCTTGCCTTTGTATGAGGCAGGTTTAAATGACATACACTGAACTCCCATCAAATGGAAGTCTGACTTTTACTAAGTAAGATTCACCACTCCTGCACATTCTGCTTCAAACCCGCCATGCCTCGTTAGCCACTGACAATCCCAGAGATAATCAGCCTGTAAGGAGACATTTATTTTGGCCCACAGTTTCAGAGGATTTAGCCCGTGGTCCCTTGGTAGGAAAGAGAGAGAGGGAAAGAGGAAGAAGGAGGAGGAGGACTCCTCTCCTGCAAGGCCATGCCCCCAGTGACCTAACTGCCTTCCACTAGGCCCCACATCCTCAAGGTTCTGCTATTTGCTGACGGTGCCAAGACCTGGGGGCCATGCCGTTAGCATATGAGCCTTTGGGGTGGCACAAGATTGGAGCCCCAGCGTCTTGTGTCCTCATGGCACACTCAGGTAATACGCATTCTTGCCTCTTTTTTTTTCTTTCTTTTCAGAGAGGGAAGTTGAAGCACAATATGCTCAAAATCACAAAGTAAAGAGACAGGGAAGCTAAGCCTCTCTGAGTCCAGTACCCAGGGTCTTTTTCATACAGTGCACTCACAGAAATCCTGGTGAGCAAGAAGTCATCTCACTGCGGAGGAAGCCTGGGGTTCCTCTGGGAATCAGTTCCTGAGGAGGGCAGAGGTGGGTCTGGCATGAAATGGGTGACACTGCAGCCTCAGGAATCCTCACCTGCCCGGGCCCAACTTGCTACTACCCTAGGCGAGGTCCAACAAGACTTGGGTCGAGGGCCACGGTCTTGGTAATGTTCAGGAAAAGCTAATCCAGCTCGTGGGGAGCTGTGTGGATGCTGGCTCGGCGCAGGCCTGTGGTGGAGCCTGAGGAAGTAGTCTCGAGAGTTACAGGGGAAGTTCAGGGCTGAGACGTGCGCTCGGCTTGCAGAGCTGCTCGCTAGCAAGGCCAAGGGTTGCAGCCGGAGGTGGGGGCTGCTCGCTAGCAAGGCCAAGGGTTGCAGCCGGAGGTGGGGCACCAGGCAGGGCTGTTTCAGAGAAGCAAGGAGGGCCGGAATGGGTTCTGAGGGGATCCGGCACGACAGACAGTGCATCGTCCTCAGACTGGAGCATAGTTAGGACGGAGCTGTCCCCTCTGAAAGCAGCTTCTGCTCACTGGTGTTCCAGCTCGAGCCTAAGAGGTCACAGAATCTAAGCCCCTTGCTAGGCAGATGTGTCGCTGATCGTGCTTGCTGACGCTCAGGTAGCCAAGCTGGAGCCCGTCTTCTGAACTTTACTCCCCCACCTTTGCAATGGGTTGGTCTTGATGTCTGCAAAATAACAGCAAAGAGATGAGGACGGGCTACCAGACCAAATGGGAAGCTGCTCGGCCTCGCGGAGGTGACTCCCATCTGGGGATCTACCCGTGCATCTGCGTCCCTTGAGTAAACTCCCCCACGTGCCTGCGATCTTAGCACCAGAGCCCGGCCTGCCTGGGACTGCCAGGCCCCGCTGCACGCTTACCGTGAGAGTCAAGCGACTTGATCCCTTATCGACAGTGCACTCCCCTGGTGTAACTCAACACAAAAGCCCATGCTTTCCTGGAGGGCCAGGGGGATTTCTGTTTGAGGTTGGCAATGTGACAGGAAGTAAGGATTACTGGACGCTGAGTCCCAGGGACAGCCAACTGGAATGTGCTCTGCAGGAGCGCAGGGCTGCTATTGGAGAGCTGAAGCCTTATTTTTTATTTTGAAGCAAGGTCTCGCTAAGTCGCTCTGTTACCCAGGCTGGGTCTCAATGTTCCAGAGTGCTGGGATGACAGGCATGCACACTGTGCCTGGGCGAATTGAAGACTTACAAGGACGGCTCTGGACGAAGAATATGCCGGACCCTGCATGGGGCACAAGCAGGAGAAGATCTTGGCCACCTCCTACATTCCATCTGGGAACTTTTAGAAGGTTCTTTGCTTTAATTTATATCCAATCTCTTTCCAAAAACTTTGTTGGCCAAGCATTTACTCGCAATTTTACCTTTCACTGACAGCCGGCTTTGTTAAAGGTCAATTTAATCTCAAATGCCTGAGAAAATGATTTCAATAACATGTTTGGATGCCAGTATCAGAGTTTGAAAGCTCGCGTCAGGTCAGAGAGAGGAATGATGCAAGCAGCATCGATCAAGCGTCTTTGCACTGATTTGGCACACACTTACAGGATTTGTGCTTGGGTCTCTGGGGCGCGAAGGGTGTGCAGGTGAGACAGTGGCAAAGACAGAATCATGTCTCTGTCCTGCAGGACAAAGCCCCGCAGCCGCAGCAGCAGCAGCTGTTCCTTCCAAGGCTGGCACTTATGCAGACTTGCCTGACGTTTCCTACATGTAACTCGATGTGGGACGCTGTGTGGTCTGATGACCTCCCGGAGCTACTTACCACAAGAACAGAGCGTGCGCTTCATTTTGTTCTCAGAGCCGGGCTAAGTTCTAAGCACTTAACCAGTGCAGAGACACGCACCTCACTGCACGTTACAGAACCGGAGGCATTCACAGCTGGCTGTCTGGTTTCCGGGAAGGGAGGGGCTGACCGGTGAGCTCCTGCTAGTTCCGGCGACTGTAAGGGAGAGGCCCAATGGAATCACTAACCGACGAATAATCAGCGAAGGCCGGCGCATCCCGGATCACAGCGCGCAGGGAGGCGTCCCTCGCGGCCCTGTAATTACATCGTCATGGGGATAACAGCGAGATTCGAAAGAATGTGGAATTCGCTCTACAAACGTTGGGTGTTACCATTTTCCTGAACTCGTTAGTGCTTCGTGGTTTGTGAATGTTAAACGTGCTCCATCTCCACCGCCACACGCGAGTGCAGGAAACTTCAGGAGCACTTTGGAGCACGTCTCCATAGCGGGTCACTTACACATGTAAGTGTGCTTGACTCCTTGAGCTTAATTCACACTCTTCCGAGGCTTCCCTGGAGATGAAAAGGAAGATTTTCAGCACAGACAGGGTTCATGAGCGATGCTGAAGGCTTGGAGTTCGCAGCGGACTTCTAGTCAGTCTTGCGCACGCGCACACACACGTCTCCTCTTTATGTGGAGCTATTTCTTTTCTCTCTGTCTCTCTCCTTTTTTTTTTTTTTTTGGGGGGGGGGACAGGGTCTCACCATTCAGTGCAGGCTGGCCCTAAACTCACTATGTAGCCCAGGGTAACCTCGAACTCATAGTGATCTTCCTGCCTCAGCCTCCTAGGTGCTGAGTGCAGGCATGCATCACCACGCCCAGCCATCTAAGGAGCTATTTTTTCTGATCAGAAATTTATGTGGGGCTGGGAATATAGCTCAGCAGCACAAAGCCTACCTGGCAAGTGCAAGGTTGTGAGTTCGATTCCTGGTACCAAAAAAAAAAAAAAAAAAGAGAGAAATTTGTGTCTTGCAGAAGTTTTGCACCCAATAGGACAGAGATCTGAGCGATGACTGGGGGCCCAGAGGACACCGGGGACCTCTCCCAACCCCTCTGTGTGGACTTACCTGCGAATCAGCAGGGCCAGTGGCAAGACCACTGTTTTTGTCTTAAGTGACTTACAAAGAGAAAGAATAAGGAAAGCAATTCAGATTTCCTCACTGAAATCTAAAGTTCCTCCTTCTGGCCGGGCCAGGAGGCAAAAGTGAACAGGAAGCTGGGCCTGGGCCTCCCTCCCTCACCTCCTCAGCTTCTCCTGCTGCCGGGGGCTTTCCCACCCTCTCCCCACCTAACTCTCCAGGGTTGTTTCCCAGAAGCAACTGCTGCTGACAGCCGTAGTCCGAGCACACGCGCTCAGTTCTACAGCACCCTTCTTCGGGAACAAAGCCAACTGAAACCTAACTCACACCTACTTTTCGAGCACGGTTTTCAGATAGAGTCAATTCCAAAGATTGCAGAAGGAAGTACTGTACTCAGCGCGATCCCTTAGCACGACTCTTACTCTGTAGACAAAGCCTTTCCTAATCATTTCTGCCACGAGGTGGGAGGCTCTAACGAGGCTTTCCTTGTACACTTGCTTCCTCTTCTGGGAACTGAGGATTGGAGCAAGATGCCCCTCCAAGGTGCACCCGGCCACTGATTCATTTTGTAGAAAAGGAAATTGAATGGCAACCAATCCATCCATCTGCGCAGGTCCATGTCTCTCTGTGCACAGGGCAGGGAGGGAAACCCCAGCCCCTGACTTCTCTAACCTCGTATTTTGCCAGCAGGCAATACTGTTTTTTGCTGCTTACTGTTTTCTGTTTAGTGTGTATGGCCTGGGAAATCCCGGAGCAGAAGCAAGGCAGCAGTCTGTGCTTCTGTTAGCTTTAGGGGTGGGCTGTTGATAGGAACCATCTGGTCAAAATAACCAAGTTTCCCTTTTACGAACAGCAAGAGGCTGGATCCTGTCACAAGAGGAGATCGCGAGTTGCGGGGCAGGTGCATAAGAACAGGCTTTAAGATAAAGGATGGAGCGGAGGAGAGACTCTACATCTGGAGGCGAAATCAGAGTGAGCTTAAAGGAGAACTGACGGCGTTTGGTGTAAGAAAATAAAGTCATGGTTTCCCATTGAAGTTAAAAATGACGAGGAACGTTGCTGTAATGGCTGCATGCCCGAGGACCCTGGCATGCAGTTGGGGGAAGATTCAAGTTCTTATATTCCAAAACTGACTTGCAAGCCGAATTGTAGCAGTGTGCTGTGTTTAGGATGAATAGATTCCCAGTAAATTGTGAATTCTGCAAAAT